TTTTACTTTTTATCTTTTCTCTGTCTTTCTGTCTGTCTGTGTGTCTGTCTGTCTGTTTGTCTGTCTGTCTGTCTATCTGTCTGTCTGTCTGTCTGTCTCTCTCTGTCTCTCTCTGTCTCTCTCTGTCTCTCTCTGTCTCTCTCTCTGTCTCTCTCTCTCTCTCTCTCTCTCTCTCTCTCTCTCTCTCTTTCAGTGTATCATACTTACAATGGGCTATTTTCTTTTGCTGTCAGCCCCGCGTCCGTTTTGACGAAGCCACATTCCTGTGAGTTGTTCTACCTAAGCGACAGGTGAACATATCAACAAGCCTTTGAATCTGCGTGATTCAACCTCCCATTCGCCGCGGGCCGCAAAACTGGCGGATGGGCGTTTGAATCACACGGAACGTGGTGTAATATGGTCGTGTTGTTACAAAATAATTTATGTGGGTAAACTGGTTATTGTCCAAGCAACAACTTCTGTCCTTTGATTGGATGCTAGAATTACAAAAGTAGAGAACATTGATTTAAGATTATTTACAAACTTACTACACAGCAACTACTTAAGAAGTAACCGTAAAATGCAGATACACCTATAGGATGGATGTTAAATTCCCCCACAATAAAATCCGCTGAACGGAAATTTGAATTTTTTGTTGGAATTTGCAACAGCCGTCTGATCCACTAGTAGAGGTTAGAAAAGCCGCCAGAGGGAGGGAAAAGGGTTGGTTGAGTGACGAAACACTAGTCTATAAATGATACCATGGAACACTGACTAACACACAATTATTTCTTGCTTTTTCTATACTGCCAACCATTTAGAAGCTGTTTGTTTTATGCAGACAAACAGTCTGAGTCTGTTACAGCTATTGTTCGGTTCATTTCTATTTAACCAACCTACGTAAAATCAACGTAGTATCTGCGTAAGAAGCATTTATTTCCACCTGTTTATTTTATCTTACAACAACCTGATAAAACAGAGACTTACTCGTTAATGCTGCAGATCCCTGGCATCTGAATGTTTCTGTAACTTACTCAAGCAGTTGCTATTGCATGCAGGAGGTGTCAAGGACAATTCTACGAACAAATTAATATTGTTAGATTATTCTTAGATCTATAGCAAAACAACACGGAACAGTCTAAAGCAAGGTATACCTCTTAAAATGTCAGTATATATGAACATTAGGGGTTTGGCAATGACTAGGGAGGCACAACGTAAAGATGAGGATAAAAAAAATTGAGTCAAAATTTAACATGTTGTAAGCAGCATAATAATACACTGAAGTCATTACATAAAGTGACAATGATTGAAAATGTTGAAAGAATCACGACCTATTTTGTTTAAACATGTTTTCACCCCAAACTCCATTCGTAAACATCACATTTTAAAGGTCATGCCCTGTTGTAAACTTCTACAATGTATGAGACAACCTAACTAAAACATAATACTATACTAGGTTGTTTTGTTTGGGGTTTTTTCTCCAAGGTACAAGTTTTTGTAAAGGTCACATAGATCTACGCATACACGTACAAGAAGGTAAAAACGACAGCTGTTTGTATTTATTCCTTTATCCTGAAGGTACGAAGTTGAAAACCTTATCATTTAGTGTTCTCCAGACTTTAAATTAACTATAGCACAGTGGTGTTCTCTTCTCATTTGCATAAATTTTAAAATACGTTCTCGTCTCTACAACACACCCTTTCTTGTTTCAAATGGTTTGTAACGCTATGAGGAATTCAACAGACAGGAAAAATGTAATTAAATTCTTTCAAGAATTTCAACCATGAGGTTTAAACTATTCAATAAAATATTGGGGTCTGAAGTCACAAGTGAACTATTTCTTCATTATAAAATTAACTGCCCATCTATGGTTGTTTGAAACCTGCGCGATCAAAAAGAATATAACGTTTTTTGTTATTTCTTGCGATTTGATACGATTTTGTATGGTTTTCAGAACCAAGCATATATCTCCAATATTGTGAACATTCAAACAGCTGTACTTAATTTTTCGAAACTAGGATATTCAGCTCAGAGGTGCTCAGGGTGCTTAATCGTCTCACGCAGGGTACCAATTCCCGTGCGGGGAGATTTTTTTTCAAGTAATTCGTTCTTTCTGCAGTGATAATGTAAGCCTCCCGGGTTGGCCCTAACAGAACGGATTCGAAGCCTTCACCCAAAATGATCTAAATTGTGTCGATAGCGGCGAAAAAAACACATACTTAGAAATAACACAGTCGATTTTTTCAATTCTTCAGCATGGAGACAAGTGGTAAGCGCGTATGTATCATCGGGGCAGGGGCATCAGGCCTCAGTGCGATTAAGGAGTGTTTGCACCAGGGACTACTGCCTGTTTGCTTTGAGTTGGATGCTGGTCTTGGTAATTATTATACTACCATTTTAGAGTAGTCAAAAGTTTGTTGAATTTGCATTATGGTTTGTGAATTAGAAATAGATTTGTACAAATAATCAAGAAATCGTCATTTCTGTGAAAGAAACAAACACATACATCCTTTCACAGAAACAGAAAAGCTGTATTTCGAATCCTAAATCTAGTTTACTGCTTTATTTTTATTTCTGATTTTGCTATAAAAAGTGTTTTGGGTAATGTTTCTTGCTTTGTAATTTAAATATGACTTCTGTCCCAACATTATATTTGAGTATTTTGAGTAACATTTGCAGTTTTCTCACAAAAAGACGAGTACAATGCACGGCCTATTCTGGTAGATCATTAGTCACATTTACATCCAACCCCAGACAAAAAACAACAACCCCCCCCCCAAAAAAAAACAACAACAAAAAAACCCCAAAAGAACACAAAATAGAACAAAAACAAAATAGAACACACAAAAAAACAACACCACAAACAATTTAGAAAACAAACTGACAAACAAAAAAACCCCGGCAAAACATAAATCAAAAAGATTTCAAGGAAGATTCACTTGTCACCAACGAGATATGCATTCAATGCAATCTTTGGAAAATATATTGAGATGGTTGCCATACCAGTTAATACAAAATAGCATTTTCTCCTCCTTTTTCGTTAGTTTCTTTCCTTTCTTCGTAACTTTCATCCCTGAGCCATGTGTCAGTTATCCGAAATGATATCGCTGCACCTACAATAACAAGTTGACCTCATCACCAGGGGGCGTGTGGCGTCGGGCCGAGGAAGGTGAGCCAATTCTAAAGCCCATGATGTTCGACAATCTAGTGACCAACACCACCAAGTGGGCCATGAGCTACTCAGACTTCCCGCCCCTACCACAGGACACACCACTCTCGACATGGAAGGTGGTTTAGTTAGGAGAGGGGATACGGGTGATGAGATAGTTTCTGTACATTCTGAAAGATCTTGTTTCGGCTTGTTGGTATACGTTCTTGACTTTAAAAACAAGTTATGCTGACGGCGCACATAGATAACCAGTCACACAAACAAAAATGTACAACAGAGAATTTGGACCAAAGCCTGCAAGTCAGATTTCCTGCATAAACACCGTCACCTAAAAAACATAAAAACAAAAACAAAAGATGTTACAAGTACGTTGGATGTTAGTGTATGAAAGAAACTCACGCACGCACACACACACACACACACACACACACACACACACACACACACACACACACACACACACACACACACACACACACACACACACACACACACACACACACATATATATATACACTCACCCATGCAATCACAGACAAACGTAAATACACATATACATAAGAAAACACTCATACAAAGAACAAAAAAGAGAGACAGAGAGAAAAAAGAGCCCGCGCGAGAGAGAGAGAGAGAGAGAGAGAGAGAGAGAGAGAGAGAGAGAGAGAGAGAGAGAGAGAGAGAGGAGGGGGGGAGGGGGTAAAGAGGTGCGGTGGGAACTAGAAGAGAAAAGAGTACAAAAGAACAAGGCCAAGCTGACAAGACAACTTGACACATCAATAACTGCTGTGTTCCCCAGGACATGTTGAAGTACTTAGAGAGATTTGCAAATCGCTTTGGACTGGAAAGCTACATCTCGTTCAACACCAGAGTATTCAAGGTACGCGATTCAATTTTTGTCTATTATGTCTGTGGTTTTCGTTTCAGCATACTTACGCTCTTTCAGCGGTTGTTGGTATTGACTGTGCCCAAGGTATTTTCATGAAAATTTCCTCTATAACCTAATAAACTTGAGGAGTAAAATCACTTTTTTTTAAACTTCTGATTGGTCAATACTTTTTCGTATTTACAAGAAAATGCTCATGGACAGACAAAAGGATTGCACCAAGTTATAATTTTTTTTACATACATTCAAAACAATTTATGAATATTGATGTGATCAATTGTTTATGAGGACTATACATTGATTATTTCGTCAAATCATCTAAATCTTGAGCACAGATACGACAGAGCCACAACTACGATCACACTGGCCAATGGGAAGTCGACACCGCCATTGTGGATAAAGCGGGCGAAGCATCGTACGGAGGAATGAGCACCACAATCTTCGATGGAGTCATTGTTTGTAACGGCTTGTTTAGGTTTGGAATAGTATTAATAATCCGACATGGGTTGGATGGTGAAATACAGCAAACAAACTTACAAAATTATTATAATTATTCATGTCGGACATCATCAACAGACCTATGACATAATGATGATGATGATGATGATGATGATAATGATGATGCTGCTGATGATGATGATGATGATGATGGTGATGATGATGAATACTATTTCTTAAAATGTTCATCATGAAACCCAAAGATCGCAAAACGTTGACCGTATACTTTATTTGAAAATCATACAAGTCTCCACCGTTTAAAAAAATATTTTTGCAGTCTACAACGATGATGATGATGATGATGATGATGATGATGATGATGATGATGATGATGATGATGGTGATGATGATGATGATGGTGATGGTGATGAAGATGATGATGGTGATGATGGTGATGTTAAAAATAATGCTAACAATAATACATGTAATAAAATAAAAACAATTATAGTAATAAATACTAATAATAATGTATTGAATTTGAATAATGTATAATATCCACGTTTTACAACATGCTCTACGCTTTTAACAACCAAATTTACTCCTGCAGATGCTAAAACACTAAGACCCATCTTCGGCTTCCAGAGAAGCGTGCAGTGCACTCTGCGAATTTTATGACTTCAAACACTTACGAAATGACACAATATGCCTATGTGATTTAAAACAACAACAACAACAAAAATATCATCAACAACAAATTATGGCAATGAACCTTCCTTCTTTTTGGCACGCGAACTCACCACAACGAATTGAATTGAAAAACAAGTTATTGCAATACATACGAGTCATTTAAATGGAAAAAATGAACTATTTTTTAAAGAATGACTAAAATACTCATTGTAGTATGGTGTTAAAATAGATTGACCCCTTCAGTGCTGAGACGTTTCCGTCTCCAAAGAAGATAAAATGTTAATTCAAGAGGGAATCAAACAAAGCAGTATATTTTCCCCCTCCCCTCTATCATCTCTCTTTATTTTTGTTTATCATTGTCTATAGTAAATATATCCCCTAAAAGTTCTCGTAAGGCCAGTAGAAAATAAATAGTAGACAACCAGTTTGGCAGAAATCACGCCAGTGCATACGTCCACACAGCAGTGAGGAGGTATAATCATCAATCCTCATGTGGCATTACATTTTTATTGGTCCTCTCAGAGCGCCACGATTTCCTAACAACGTTGTGGGCATGGACACTTTCCCAGGACTACAGGAGCATTCTATGACCTACAGAAATAACGAGAAGTATCGAGACAAAACTGTCTTAGTTGTTGGTGAGATTTCTGCTTGAATTAACTGCAGAGTGTATATTTTTTTACAGCGTACAGGGTAAGATATCAGGATAGGAAGTTGTATCTAATATATTTGTGTATACGTCATGTTGGTGGGAATGTGTTGATACTGTCTCTTATACAATCGCAAACTTTGAATGAGTTTAATACCTGGTCAAAAATATGCAAGTCTCTCTCTCTCTCTCTCTCTCTCTCTCTCTCTCTCTCTCT